TTCACAATTAAGGCTGCACCCTGTCATAGACAAGCACTGATCACTCTGCGAAATAGTCCAAATTCTGGCAAACAACCATGATTCGTCGATCGTGTTCTAGGTCCATTGCACTCAAGGACGACGGAGATGGGAGAGCCTGACGAATTGCATCGCCGTTCAAATCAGGTCGATCGGCCGAGCAACGTAAGGCCCCGCGGCTCCGCTCGTCGAGAAAACGTTAGCACCTTGCGCGCACCTGTGGCCATGCGAGATCGTGGATTATCTGCTGCGCGTGAAAGAGAGAGGGAGAGAGAGAGAGAGAGAGACTGATGGAACGTACGGGACTGATACGCAAAAAGAGAAAGAGAAAACCGTCCGTGAGATGAAGAAGAGAGGGAGACCGGGTCGTTCTGGACCGTGGAGAAGAGGATAACACCACTTACAGACCGCATATGTATATCAAGAGCGGCGCATAGTAAAACTCGATTACACTCGACTCGGATATTAAAGCCGATGACGACGACAACTACGACGATCAACGGGTGATCGTTCACAGCACGGAACGTCAGTAACTGTACTGAGTGCCGCTGACACTCACTCATGCAGTTTCACGGTCCGGGTGGGGACTGGAGTCGGGCCCCGAGACCATGGGCATAGCGAAAGCGGGAGTGGGAAACTGTCTACAGGGAAGAAGGTGTGCAATGCCGGTAGGAAGGGGGGGAGAAAGGCGAGAACCGTGGAAGGACGAGAACGAGTTCTCTCCAAGTCGGCTTGTAGTCGCCAGACAGGTACCTGCCTGAGCGAAGTGGTGGTCGTGGCGTCCTCTACCGAGCCACCCGCTGGATCGACCATCCGGTTCCTTATTTAAATACCTGACTCTTTACCGTTCACTGCCTTTCACGTGGACGACCGTAAGTGTGTGTGTGTACACACACGATCGTCCATGTGCACCTGCCAAAATTTCACCTCCGATGCTACAGAATGTTGCTCCTCTCCTTAGCATCTTCGTCGGATCGTTTCGCAGTATAATTCGTGCACGGTGTATCTACCCTGTGAATGGTCGTTTAAATGGAATTAAGCGTGATCGCCCGCAGGCCATGCTCGATATCTACCAAACATCTCTTCATGATCGATAATTTCAAAATGTTGTAATATTCATTGTGCGTAGATACTGAAGAAAAATGTAGAGAATAAAAAATATAGAAGATATGATTGATTTCAGATAACATTTAATATTGGATATTTAATCTGTAGCTAGTAATCCTTTCATTTCCTTATCATAAATACATCTTATATTTTTTTAAGAATTTCCGTTCTATATATGTATAAGGTCTTTTACTCCGTAGATATATCTCTACTTAACATACTTTAAACAAGTACTTTTATACAAATATTAGGTTAATGCAGATGAAATGACCGTTTTTCTATATTGCTATTAAGAACAGTCGTAACTTCGTTAAAAAATGAACAAAATTTTAATTTAAAAAAGGATTTTAAAGCTTAAAAACTCTACTTTCAAAAACTTACTATATTTTTTCAGTTTAAGTGAGTTTGATAATTTTTACATATAGGAAACAATCAGCTAAAAAGAAAATGAAAAAATTTTTTTTCACTTTATAGGTCTGTCACGTGCTCCCTAAAATATCGAGAAAATTTTTAATTATCTATTATGAAAGATTGAAGTTTTCCCTGCAAAATCGTTTTTTAATAATCCTACGATCTTTTGTTCCTGAGTTATTCGCGGATTAAGTAAAAGGAGCATTCTAACTTTATTGCTCATAACTCCGTTAAAAATCATTATATCGCAATAAAAAAATATAGATTCTTAAAGCTGAAACTTTACTCTGTCGAATGGTATAATCGCTAATTTTTGAAAAATATTCTAGAATATACTGGAATATATTTTATAATATGAAAAACGGTCATTTTATCTGCACCAACCTAATATTAAAAGAGAAATGCCCTGAGAAATTATACAAACAATTGCTTTTATGACAAGTAAGTATATATACATTCTTTGGAAGGAAAAGAATAGCGCACAGGTTCAGACGTTAGATTTAGACGTTTTTTCGATAACGATGATAAATATAGCATTGATGCGTTCGACCTTTCTCGTAGAACTTGTAGCGAGAAATCGAAATAGTCCTGGCTTTTGTCGTATGTCATTGTTTCCGAGATAATGGTTCTCATGACGTTCCCCTATTCTGTAACTCTTAACGACAGTGTCGATGTCGTTATAGCATGATTGCACAGATATTTCATATAGTAAAAAAAACTACGCTATAACGATATCGACGCATAACGATATCGACATTGTTAAAAGTTACAAAATATGGCTCCTCTGTGTATAACTTTTTTTTATCAAATTATATATTGGGTAAGAATAAAAAAGTTCGTACCGCTGTTAACTTTAAAATTAAAGCAATTATATGTTAACAACGAATAAAATTTAAATTTAAAAAAGGGTTTAAAACTTTTTTTAAAATCTTTACTTTTGAAAAGTCATTATAAGAGTAAAAAAAAACCTATAAGAGTCGACACAAGTTATTCGTGTGTAAAAAATATAATGTTTATTGATAAAAATCTAGACATTTCGATCACATAATTTTGGTAATTGACGTAATATAAACTGTACGCTATTAAACTATTTCGTTTAATAGCGTACAGTTTATATTACGTCAATTACTGAAGATGACCAAAATTATATGATCGAAACGTCTAGATTTTTATCAATAAATATTATATTTTTTACACAGGAATAACTTATGTCGGCCCTTATAGGCTTTTCTTTTATTCTTATGATTGTATATCACTCGAGTCTTTAAACTTCTTGTATTTTAAAAGTCATTATGTTTTTTGAGTACTGTGAGTTTAATAATTCTTACATATAGAAAACTATTGAATAAAATTTTCTTCTCACTTTATAAATCTATCATGTACCCCAAAAAAACTTGCAAAAAGTTTGGTCTTTCTAATATGAAAACTTAAAGTTTTCCTAAATTGTTTCTTAAAGATATTTCTGAAGTTTTTTTGTAACTGAATTATCGTGGATTAAATAAAAGAAGCATTTTGACTTTGATTGCTCATAATTGCATTAAAAATCAATACCATAATTAAAAGAAGATTATTAAAGTATTATTAAAGTGAAATTTTAATTTATCGAGTGATATATAATTACCAATTTTTTTTTAAACATGTACTTCATTTGTATCACGTTTTTCTAAACCATGATACAAATGAAGTAAATAGTTCTACGGACTTTTGATCCAACCTAATGTGTATCTAGTTAATAATTATTTATATTAAATGATTAAAGAATTGCGTGTAAATTTAGGACATCTTAAAACGATATATCAGTTGGATGATGATGACAGTGAGTTTTGCTTATCCATTGTATAATGCTTATCATGCACTAAAATTGGTCACACTGATAATCATTCACTTACTAGTTAATATTAATATACAGCTATATATGTTAATTCTAAAAATCATTATTTTTTTATTACGCTTATGATTACATGCTATGCTAATAAAAGCAATAATTTGAAAATTAAACGCAACAGTTATGATTACTGCAAACTATACAGTTGCACAGGAAAATAAATGTAACTACTTTTAAAGATAATTTAATATGTTATTTTTTGAATTTATATAAAGCTTTATTTTGTAAGACAGAAATAGACATCATTAGTGTTCTTAAGACCGAATAGAATGTTTGTAAAATCCATTAGATTGACCTTGTAACATGTATTAGGCTTAAAGGTGACTGGAACAAGTTCCGTTACACCTTCTATTTGTGAGCACAGCATAGGCCATCCATCTGTTATTCTTACTGATTTTTTCCGGCTAAGAGGGCAGAGGACATTTCACGTTGGTGACCTCCACGCTGGAAGCGGTTATCGATGACCTGTCGAGTAACGTGGGTCGCGCGAAACGGGAAAGGAAATTTTACCGCCGTAATGTCGCCAAATAAATAACGATTATATTTGATTGCCTTGTACACGATTGCTGAACAGCCTGTCGAGTCGAAGACGAAGTGTCGACGCTCGACTCGACTTTACAATTTGCTTGTGAACGATCGTGGGACATCGACGATGTTCCGATATGATAACCTCTTTATAAACTTTTTGATATATTAAACGCATAGTCATAACTTGAACGAAACAGACTTATTGTTAAAACATTATCTTAATTATTAGCTTTTTTTTCTTAAACAAATATACTAATTTTATTACATTCATATTTTTTAATCTCCAAAATGATTTCTCGAAATTATTGCTACAAAATTCATTGCTGTAAAATAATTTACGATGTTAGCTCTCTTTCTCTGGACAAGAACCACACGTTCATAGGCTCGGATTTTCCTTTCATAGAGACAGGACCTCTATATTCCAAAAGAAACTGCGGATCTTGATTTTCAGGCATACAGAGATATCTGCAATAAATCATATAAACGTTTGTGAAAACCTTAACACTAATATAATAGCCATTTAACCTGTAACACATTTTTTAAGCTAAAAAACATACAATTATATTAAAAAAAATTTTTTAAGTTTAGAACTATGAAATATAAAATTATTCTAAATCATTACTACTTAAAAATTCTTAGAAAAAGTCTCCGAGTCATTAAGATCAGTAGAATCTGTATGTTCTAATTATGGGTTTGAAAAAGGAATCACTCCCTTTTTTTTATGAAATATTTTGCTACGTTGAAAGGTAAACGATACAAGTAAAAAATTTAAATTTAAGATAATGAAAGAATCTAAAGATTAATATTTTTAGGGAATTGATTTCCTTTTATCTCAAAATACTGATTTTTTATTTGTGCCATTTCTCTATCATTACAGGGATTTATCGTATTTAAAACTTTGACTTTTGTATATATATGAAGTATAAGAAGCCTGCCCCAGCTTTTTTCAGCATGGATGTAAATGGTCACCTAGGGTGCATCAAAGAAGCCTCTAAAATGCGTATTTCACGTCTAATCGAATTAGCCCCGCCGTGTGAGTTCTGGCTCGTTTCTTCTGTTGATAACCATTAAAACGTGAACGTTCGCGACGACTGTTACGCGATATTTACCTGTCATTGAAATTATACTAAATTGTTTGTGTTGCGCGTTGCCTAATTAAAATCACTCGAAAATCATGGAGGTACTGATAGATTGCTATTTCGACAGACTGTTCTCGGAAATGGAACGCAGTTGTTTAGCCTCGCGATACAAACGTCGCGAGCTGGTCAGTTATTTCACGGATGTGATAAACAGTTGTGCAGAAGGTAATAAGATTTATGATATCAACGTCCTGTATTATACGCGCGATGTTTATGCACGAGACGCGCAAGTGACAAATGGACCGCTGTTGAGAATCGATGATTAGTGTGATAACGTCATTTTATTATCCGCAAGTCCGACAGAAAATTCCTAAATTCGCAGACGATTGATGTTATCGTGGTTCCGCGATATTAACGACGTATATGTAGTTTTATCCGTGTTAAATCTCATCCGTCTATACGGGAATGCCTGAAATACGCAAAGATATCGCCGCCCATTATGATCTTACCGTTACATTAAACCGTGCCTAATCCTTTCTATTTGTCTTCGTTGTTTCGCCAATGCCGTTGCAGTAACGGTGAAAAATACCACGCGCCGTAAACGCATCGTCATGAATTCCAGAATAATTTACATCTTCGTCTCGCCCGCGTTTTACGTGAATAAATTCCACGGCTTTTTACTTGCTTCATCATTTTATAACCGATGGGACTATAAATCACGCATGCTTGATGCTTCCAGCGGAAGATCTCGACAAGCAGGACGTATGCGAGAGGATAGTTCTCTCAGCTCTGCGTTATCACAATATCACGATGATGGAGAACGGATCGATCTGTTTACTCGGCAAGTTTCACAATGTTCTTTACGTGGCGGCGAAGCTGTGCTATGATTGGGATATCCACAACAACACGATTGTCAGTCGATTGCTAAATGACATATTCTACTGCGAGAAGACGTTCGAGCGATTACTCGTCGGGGCAATCTTCGGCACGCGCGTAACGCATTTCCTGTCGGGCTGGAAGTGCGACTTTGACGATCGCGAAGAGAACATCCGGGCTCTCGTGTACTTCTTGGATCACGCAATTAGCGGTCGGTTGGAGTACCGTTGCGAGTCCTCGCCGATAAAGAGACGTTTCATCGACGTGACCATGGAGTCGTATGGACAGGTTCTGCCTCTCAGGGTCGCGATCCAACACGGCGCACCGGACATCCTGTTGATCATGCTGCGCTACGGTGCTTCAGTCGAATCCGACAAACTGGCTCCGTCGCCGATGGAGATGATTCTGACAAAACTGAGCGAGTACGAGGCACAACCCGGACAGGAGGAAGTCGTCTATCCGGAACATCTGCTGACGTGCCTGAAGCTACTATTGCGAACTGTGACCGCTGCCTACATCAGAACTCCTGATCACATCGCCGCTCACAGCGGTATATTCAGTGTCTCTTTGTACGAGCAGTATCCCAACCTGGCGAATCAAAATCTAATACCTCCGGAACGTACCGGAATTTGTCCAGCGGAACTTAAACATCTGTGCCGTTGCCGAATCCGCGAGACCCTCCATAATAATTGGGCATTGCCTCATGGAATCAAGAAACTGCAGATTCCAGAATCTCTGAAAAATTATCTCGATCTGCTGCAAGACTGACGACTCGTTCGCGGGATGATCGGTATCGACTGTTTTGTTTTGTTTTAGCACTGAATCTTAGAAATATTTTATCATATACGTTTGTACGCAGTGTTTTAAAATTTTACTGTGATTTGATAAAATGTACTTTCTGTCGATTCGACTGCAGAATCCAGCAAATGCGCGTCGAAGTCTTTTAAAGTCATCGTATAAAGTTCGAATTTTGGACTTATAGTTCAGCGAAATATATGGATTGAGAAAGTAGAGCCAAACTACGGCAAAGACTTTGACAGATACGAATCGTATATTTAAATATATGTCAGACTTTATGTGGAATACTTGATGTATGAAAGTGAAATCTCGCGCGAGACGTTTAAGTAGGTCTAAGGTCTAAGGTTTGAGAAAAAGTCAAGTTCAGAAAGTCGGGTGATAGCGTCTTATAATGACTCTATGTTAATGAATCTTGGGAATTAGAGAAAAACTTTGTGAGGGATACTCTTATATACGCTCGCGATGAGAGTACCAGAAATATTCAAGAATAATGGAAAGTATGTCGTGAGACAATGTAATAATGTACGTGTTCGGGAAACCAAAGTTGTGAACCGTTAGCAACTTTCGTTCAATTTGAGAATCAAATGAAAGAGATAATATAGTAAAAAATATATATAATATAATTATGAAAATAAGAAATTTTTTATATATTTTAGTGTATAAAATGATTTATATATCTATATATTTATATATCAGTAATATTTAAAATAATTTACCTATAAGCATCTTCCGAAACGTTGATCTTTCCCGGTTGACCGGTGGTCTCTGTTCGACTCGTAAGATTTACTGTATTTCCGAATAAACAGTAACGAGGCATACGATGACCGATTACACCAGTAACTACTTCTCCACTGTGTATTCCAATTGTAATTTTCTGTAAAATAACAATCAATATATTATAGCAATATTTTAAAAATTCAGAAATGATTAATATAGTATTAGATATACCCCTGTATAAATTTTTAAGGAGTTATAAAAGGAACACGTTTTTCTCTTGTTTCTATAATACATGCAATAATTTCCATAAGCATATTTTTTTACCTAAGAGTATTAATTATCTAAACTATAAAAAGATTATTCATTTTTAGTAATGTTAGTGCAAAAGATATCTTGTTATTTTTACTTTATATCACATGTTTGCAGCATGAAAACCTAAATTTATTGAAGTTGCGTCAATATTTTTTCTTTTTCTTTCCAGAATTGAATTGCGAATTGCACGTAACGTTCTAACTGTAATCCGTTGTTAAGTATTTAAGTAACGTGAGAATTGCACTGCACTCGGAGAAACAAGTTAGTTTTCTTTGCAAAGAGATACAAAAATAGTAGAGAGACATCAGCTGTCTCTCGGGAAATTGCAAACGGTTCGCGCACATATATGTGTACACACACACGCGCGCGCGCGCGCGCGCGCGCGCACACACACACACACACACACACACACACACACATACACACACGTCAAACTGTATAAAAATACGAGGAAGATTTCAACTTTCTACAAAAGTCATCGGACGGACTGTCTTGATAATTCCTTTAACAAAAACTCTTTCGATATTACTCGCTACAATGTGTAACGTTTAACGTCCAATCTTAAATTGACTTATACTGTCAATTCTTCTCAGATCAAAGCGTTTCGCTACATAGTCATGTATCAAAGTATACCTAGCGGAGTGCAGACAGCTTGTACATACCACGGGCTCCCCATCGATCTGCACTTCATCCGCCGCGAGATCCATCATGTCTAACGCTAGGCGTGCGATGCATCGTGCATGACAACGACAGGGTTCCGGCAATCCACTCACTGCCATATATTTATCACCGATAGTCTCCACCTATAGATCGACCAAAAGTGAAATTAATGGAAACATGAGAAAATCCAAAAGTGTTATTGATATCGCGTAAATGATATTTGTGAGCAATTTTGTTGGCCATATTCTCTTTTTTAAATGTTTTCGCACAAAGATTTATAACATGTAAATGTCTTTTATATAATTTTTCTACAGCCCAAAAGTATAAATCATCCCCACAAATTGACGTAAACATTCAATATCTAATAAAAAATAAATAAAAAAACAGTTTTATTGAAAAATAACATTTATTTTTATAACAATTTTAATATTTTAATAATTTCCTTTTGAATTTTATTATCACCTTTTCCAAGAAAATGCAATAAGTTGAGGATATTTTATACTTGTAATCAAAACTGCATGTAACAATCTATTTTTCAAAATTGCAAAAATTAAATTAATTATACGTGTTTACCTTATAGACGTTAGGATTTTTTTTTGGGTCAGTTAAGACGTCAAAAGCCGTGTACAGTTCGTTGAGCATATTAACGATCTTCATAGCGCCATTAGAGTCTGTATGAGCAGCGCAATAAGCTCCGAAGCCGACTATTCCGGAGAACAGAAGAGTAACGCAATCATACTTTTTCGCTGGTACCGGTCGTGAATGCCTAAGCTCATTCGCCACCGAAATAGGAAGCACTGAGTAAAGCAACCTGCAGTGAATACAGATGATCTTTTATTCAACGTCGCAACTTCCCGTCGTATCGCGGGCGCTAGTTTTGCCTAATCGGATTAACAGTTCTCGGCAAAATTTCCGCAAGTCGTTGAGAGAAATTAAATTTGGATAGTTTCGAAGCGCAAGTCTCGGTTGCGGGAAATCTCAGAAAAGATTTCTGCTTTCCTCGAGCGTAAACGGAAGTCCTTCCATTTTGCGGTATCGTGTTCCGTCAAATAAATATATTTCCGTTAATCGCAAACGGAAGGATTCCCAAAGCGATTTACAAAGAACGAGTTGCGGATCTCGCGTAATCGAATTACTGGTAAACGACGAACCGGTGGCAAAGATAATCAGGAAGTGCCATGGACGGAGATCCTTACCTGTCGGTCTTCTGTTTCTCGCCGTCGAGTTCGCGATACGTCTGCTGCAGCTTATCGGTGAGCAATTCTAAGTTGCGCGTCAATTTGTAATCCGCCTCAAACTGTTCAGACATCAGAACCAGGTCTCGAGTGGCGTCGTGTAGAGGGACGTCACTCAAGTACAGACCCCGCCTGGAGTCAAAAGAATAATTCGGGATGATATTGCGACGGTGGAGACGTTTGTCAAGCGAGATAATGAGAATCCATCCCTCGCCGTATCAAGTAGTACGTCACGTATAAAACTTTTATCAACGTCAACACGAAACTTTAATCAATTACGTTTAACACAAACAGAAAAAAAGTCCGAAGTTGACCGAGAGAAATAAGGTTAATATCTTATACTAAAAGACACAACTTCCCTTTCCGAAAAAGAAGGGAGAACAAGTTTAACAAGTATTAGTACTATGAGATTGTGTAGAAGTTTATGGTAATAAGTTGTATATACTTTTCCATCCCGTTATACCGATTTATTACGTAAATGAAGAGCATTTAATAGATTTATGGAAAGACGTGGGTCTTACCTAGTTAAGTCATCGAGGTTCATAACACTTGGGTAACACAGAAAAATAACCATATCGGTCTCAGGTATATACAACATTTGACCCTGAAACAGTTATTAAACTGTAAAAAGTTCTCTATTAATTCTACACGGAAAGAACAGTTTTGAAGTATTAACTAGATATAAATCTGATAATAATTTTGTTGGACTATTAATATGTTTATGCAGAGAACACAACTATAAATTTTAAAACTCATAAATAAGAGTCGTGAAAGAAACGGTAATTGATGCGTAATAATAAAGCAACGTAAATTATATATTTAGAATAACATTTTTATAATAAAATCAATCGTTTCGATTTACTTTAACACTGGTATCGCCAATGGCCAAGTGCCATTTTGACTTCGATTATCATTTCAATTTTTTTGTATTAGATATGCAGTATAGATTATTAAGGACATGTGAATATAAATAATTATAGTAACATAAATAATATCAAAATAACTTTTATCAATCGAAAACAAGGATAGGAAATTAGCAAATTAATCTTCGGCGATTCTATTGAAACATGAACGGCGATTTTAATGTTAAGACATCATCAGCGATAACAAAGACGTCTAAGATTAGCAGTCGTTTGGTATCAATTCTGTTCTCCCAGCATGCAATGGATAAGATCCTTCTATATAGAATATGATCCTTTAGAAATTATTGAAGTGTGAATTATTATTATTAAAATTCGGACGCTATAATTCTATTATTACGACAATGATTTCAGTGAAAGTTACACAAGTATTGAGGTTTATGTGAGAATAAACAAGAGCCAATTACACGCTCCGTTCCTTTCACGTCTCTCATTTGCTAGTTTTAAGATTTGTTCTAATCTCAACAGTCTAGTGAAGTTATGAATTTTTGTTGATATTTATGTAGGACGCTCAAACTGGTTACTAGAATGTTAAAAATTTTTGTAGCACTGCTCATCATGCTTGAGTTCCCTACATAATTATTTTGATAGTCCAACAAAATTATTTTGAGTTGTGTATATTGACTATTAAATATTATAGTAAAATTTTTCTTTCCGTGTATTTTATTCTTCCCAGTTGACGCTAACTAAAAGTAACATAATGTTTATATTACTTATAATTTTGCACTCAACAATACAATTGTTACGTAGCACTATGTGCTATTACGTTTATATTATTGAGTGCGAAATTATAACACAGATATTATATTACTTTTAGTTGGTGTTAATTTATCCGAATTGATTCATCTTTATAGACTACTGACCTTTAAACGTAAAGACGAATATTCCTCGGCAGCATCAACAAGCATAACTCCTTTTTTTGTTCTTAGCACATATACTGTATTAATATGCGATAATATATTTTCGAATGTTAATTCCAGATGCGGTCTGACCTATGAAGTTTCCAAATGACAGTTAATTAACCCAATTTCATGTAATAATTTATTAAATTGGTCTATAATTAAAATGCATTGGGTATTGTGGTTATTTTAAACAGAATTAGGTGGCGGAATATTCACAGCAACAGCACACTCGATGTGTCTATGATTTTTAAAATGAGGGATTATAATGGTGAGCTAATTGACAACATTACAATTACGTACGAACAATAACGCAAATTATATTAAATGGATGGCTCGGACAACACGCTCTGTGTCCGTCACAATAAGCTGCGTTTGATATACATTCATGTGCTTATAGGCATGTATGTAATAGCAGGCATTGTGTACTAATGCAATTCCTTTGACAGGGAATAATTAGGAAGGTTTATTGAAAATTGATCGATATCAGCGCAGACAATACTTCATGCAGTATCAATGAAATGCTGAAACGATATTATCGGATAAAATTCCTCTTATACATAATTCATACATTTCTGAGCTGTAATAATCAGTATCACGAAGAAAAACAAGCACAAGAAAAATAGCACAAGAAAAATAGCACGTTTTCTGATTGGTCTGTGACTAATTAATCGATAAAATGCAAAGCGTTCAAAATCAATAGTCCGAATGAGATATAAAAAACATGAAAGTGACAAAAATGAATTTGTGACGAAGCAAAGACAAAAGGTGAACTACGTATTCACTATAATGAACATATTGTTTGATGCTCGTCAACTCACAGTTAAGAGAATGTCGTTTAGTTTGCAATGACCGCTAGAAACGCGAGGTATAACACGCGTTATGGTACATCCGGTTTGAACTATGGTAAGGTCCCGATTAAACATTAGATGAAAAGGAAACACTCGACAGAACGTTGTTGGGCTGACCTTTGGTTCTACGACAATTCATTAGATATCTATTATTCCTTTTTTTTTGTAATATTTGTCTTAATAGGCTTTTTAATTATTTAACATTATACTTTTTTAATATTTAGTTTGCGATTCTATCGTCATTTGTCAAGTTTATTGATTTTTGTGCCGATACGTGTTATTGGAAAGAAACTGTGATATACTACTCACCGACAGACAATGTTTCCAATTCAGCGATCATAGGATTTGATACGACTCCTGGCCCTGATGTGTCAGTTATGAGGAATTGCACATGATCGCATTCGCTTTTAGTTTTCACTATCTGCATGTCAACATCCGTGCCGTGAAGTTTTTTCGCAACGGTCTATTTCAGAAAAATAAATCGAAAATTCTTCTATCATTCTTTCTTTACTGTCGACTAATCCTTCTCGTTAAAATATTTCCGTTAAAATATAAAATAATCGCTGTAGTTTTTCTCGTGAAACTCTCTCGGAGCTGAGTTTTTGTATATTTTATAGCGTTAAATGTATTTTCAGGAAATATTCCAGAATAGAATTAAATTTCGTTTCACGATTTTGATTTTTCTCGAGTCTTGCATAATAATAAATCACATTTTTAGCAGAGAATTTTTACCATAGAAATAGAATACCTTAACAATTCCAATAACGATGTGTTCCAAACCAGGTCGATCTGAATAGTAATGCAAAATAAGCGCGCCATCCTCGGGTCTCTCTGTACATCTAAAAGATGGTGCCCTCATGCCCGGATATAACGTACCCAAATGATCGTGAAGCGCGTCCAAATTCTGCAATATGATACCGACGTGTATCTATATATATATGTCTGATTTAACGTGCACACATGTATTGTTTCCAATATCTAATATGAATTTAAAATGTATATATATCTTCGATAAAAATATTCTTAGTGCTACAATAATACTTGATCCGTGTAAGTATATTTGAATAAGTTTTTCGTTATTTTTATAAAATACAAGATGTTGAATA